ATGGGGCCACGAAGCGTGTGAGGGGTGTGCCGAAATGGGGGTGGAACTGCATGCGCCGCAAAAGCGAACGCAACAATCGAACGCAGCCACTGCATGTCGGTGGAGCTCCCTATAGCCGACGAACCGCATGTGGGGCCGTCGGTGGAGCTCCCTATGGGGCCACGAAGCGTGTGAGGGGTATGCCGACCTGGGGGGTGGAACTGCATGTGCCGCAAAAGCGAACGCAGCCACTGGGACCTTCGGTGGAGCTCCCTATGGGGCCACGAAACGTGTGAGGGGTGTGCCGAAATGGGGGGTGGAACCGCATGCGCCGCAAAAGCGAACGCAGCCACTGGGGCCTTCGGTGGAGCTCCCTATGGGGCCACGAAACGTGCGAGGGGTGTGCCGAAATGGGGGGTGGAACCGCATGCGCCGCAAAAGCGAACGCAGCCACTGGGGGTTTCGGTGGAGGTCCCTATGGGGCCACGAAACGTGTGAGGGGTGTGCCGAAATGGGGAGTGGAACCGCATGCACCGCAAAAGCGAACGCAGCCACTGGGGCCGTCGGTGGAGCTCCCAATGGGGCAACGAAGCGTGTGAAGGGTGTACCGAAATGGGTGTGGGAGGGGGAGGAGGGGGGAGGAGGGAGGGAGGAAGGAGGCGGGAACGCGGGGCACCGTCTCCTCAAAACGAGGACCCAACACCACAGGATGGTTGGGAAATAGTCTGGGGACTATTTTCCCGGAAAGGGCTTGAGCCCAGGGCTCTCTTTTAAAAGTTTCCCCCGGAGTCGACGGGAAGAGGGCCGGCTGCGATAAATTACATGCGGGAAGACGGCCGGCGGAATTATTATTGAGGATGTCCCTCGCGAAACGCTTGTTTATCATAATTTGTTGAGGATGTCTCGAGCGAAGCGCTTGGTGTCAGAATTTGTTGAGGATGTCTCGCGCGAAACGCTGGTTTTGCAGAGCCGACCGCGAAACGGAAAACGCCCCTCGCGCAGGAATTCCGAGGATGTCTCGCGCGTACCGCGTCCCGCGCGCAGAAATTTCGAGGATGTCTTGACTAATTCGCTTGTTGTTCTACGATGTCCTTGAATTTTGGCAGGATGTCTCAAGCGAAATGCTTGTGTGTGTGTGAGTGTGTGTGTGTGTGTGTGTGTGTGTGTGTGTGTGTGTGTGTGTGTGTGTGTGTGTGTGTGTGTGTGTGTGTGTGTGTGTGTGTGTGTGTGTGTGTGTGTGTGTGTGTGTGTGTGTGTGTGTGTGTGCGCGTGTGTGTTTTTCATAATTTGTTGAGGATGTCTCGAGCGAAACGCTGGCTTTGCAAAATCGGGGGATGTCTCGAGCGGGGGCCTCGTGGGGGGCGAGTCTTCAGAGGTCCCAGGCGAAATGTTTGTTTTCACGCCCCGCTCGCGGGAATTCCGAGGATGTCTCGCGCGTGCCGCGTCCCGCGCGTAGGAATTTGGATGATTTGGACAGGATGTCTCGAGCTAAACGCGTGTCTCCAGCATGTTCCGTAGCGCGTCCCCTTGGCACGTCCCGCGGTGCGACCCCATGGCACGTCCCCTGGCACGTCGCCTGGCGCGTTCCTTGAGACGTTCCGCGTCGCGTCCTCCTGGCATGTTCCCCTGTCCATTAGCTCTGGGGCAGCTACTATTTGTTCAGGCAACTCGAGCTTAAGATCCAGATCAGTTCGGTCAGGACTCGGATGCAAAGGAGGACTCGATCCACGAGGCTATAGAGCACAATCGCGGCATGGCACATCGCAATTCAGCACGGCGCAGCACAGCACAGATTTCGGCACGGTGCATCAAGATCGATACATTCAGCATTGCAACTTGGCACGTTCCTTGGCACGTTCCGTGGGGCGTCCTTCGGCGAGTCCCCCTGGCACGTCGCGTGGCGCGTCCCTTGGCACATCCCGTGGCACATCCATTGGCACGTTTCGTAGCGCGTCCCCTTGGCACGTCCCGCGGTGCGACCCCATGGCACGTCCCCTGGCACGTCGCCTGGCGCATCCCTTGGGACGTTTCGCGTTGCGTCCTCCTGGCATTTCCCCTGTCCATTAGCTCTGGGGCAGCTACTATGTGTTCAGGCAGCTCGAGCTTCAGATCCAGATCAGTTCGGTCAGGACTCGGATGCAAAGGAGGACTCGATCCACGAGGCTATAGAGCACAATCGCGGCATGGCACACCGCAATTCAGCACGGCGCAGCACAGCACAGCCTTCGGCAGGGTACATCAAGATCGTTACCTTCAGCATTGCATTTGCCCGTCACCCAATCAGGTGTCTTTGAAAACGCTGCCATGTGTTACAGTTCTATATTACTTTCCGGGTTCGTGGGTCGATCCTGTTTTGAATATCCGTAAGGGGTCCGCCCCCTGCCGCCGGCCCCCTCTCTATCATAATGGGATACGTCAGAGCTATATTGGGATGTTCGGGCGCCGTCTTGATGACATTCGGGAATGTCATGCTAGGGCGGCTGGCGATGAGCAAAACAGATTGAGATGTTGAAGTTGGTGTTGAACGCTTTGTTGCCTTCTTGGCATTTTCCTCCAGTTGTTCACTGGAAGCGCTCTGGGAACGGCTGGGGATTGCTTCAGGCAATCTCTGGGAAGATTATTTTTTTTTGCTCTGGAGAAGGAATGGCGCCTTTGGGCAGCTTCCGCGAGGTGGATTCGTAGCGTGGGGGGTGCGCGCGAATTTGGTGTAATTTGCAAGGGATCGTGGCCTCGGGGACGCGGATGTGGCGCAATGTACGATGGGTCGTGGCCTGGGGGGCCCGACAGCGGCGTAATTTACGAGAGATCGTTGTCTCGGTGGCGCGAATGTGGCGTAATTCACGCGGGATCGTGGCCTCGGGGGTGCAAGTGTGGCGTAACTTGCGAGGGATCGTGGCCTGGGGGGGGGAATGTGGAACCCACCGCCGAATTTTCCAGAAACGAGGGAGGGGCAAAAGAATACCAGCGGAGCACATATCCCAATACAGAAAATTACCGGTTTTCTGCTTTGGAGAAGGGGAGCGCCTTTTCGGCAGCCTACGCAAGGCGGATTCGTGGCCTCGGGGGCGCGCCCGCTGCGTAATTTACGAGTGGTCGTGGCGTCAGGGGCGCGAATTTGTTGCAATTTACAAGGGATCGTGGCCTCGGGGGCACGAAAATTATGTAAATTACATGGGATCGTGGCGTCGGGGGCGCGAATTTTGTGTAAATTAGAAGGGATCGTGGCCTCGAGGGCGCGGATGCGGAGTAATTTACGATGCATCGTGGCCTCGGAGACGCAAATGTGGTGTAAATTGCAAGGGATCGTGGCCTCGGAGACGCGAACGTAGCGTCATTTACAAGGGATACTGTAATTTGCGAGTGATTCTGGTTTCGGGGGCACGAAACTTTTTGTATTTTTACGAGTCCCACGCCCCCCCAGAAATTCTGAGAACCCTCCCGGGGGGTGCTAACCAGGGTCCTTTTCGGCTCCCCCCCCATCGCGCGGGCAGTAACAATTTACAGTAGGAAACAGAAAGCAGTACTGACACAATGGAAAATGGAAGCTGGAACTGGTACAGGGAGCAGCAACCTTAATCCTCGCAGCCTGATGGCCCCGCAAGGGGGCCGGCGGATTTTTTCGACCATTTTGAATTTTTGTTTGGTATTCTTAATTTTTCGTCGAAAATCACCCTGTAGGGGGACACGCTCGACTTACGGCCAGTGTAGCGAGGACGGAGGTGATGATGGCGATGACGATGGCGATGCTGATCGTGTTTGATGATGGTGGTGGCAGTACGATGGCAGTTACGCGTGACGATGCCGATCGTGGGGCTCATGATGACGATGGTGATGCTGGTGAAGATGATGACGACGATGACGACGATGATGATGATGATTTTGATTTCGGCGGTGATGATGATGATGACGGTGACGATGATGATGATGATGATGACGACGATGACGACGATGATGATGATGACGACGACGACGACGATGATGATGATGATGATGATGATGATGACGACATGGGGCTCTTGACGACGATGGTGATGATGGTGATGATGATGATGACGACGACGATGATGATTTTGACTTCGATGGTGATAGCGTTGGTGACGGTGACGATGATGGTGGAAGGTGTGGCGATGATTAGGGCGATGCCGACGGTGGTGATGGCAGTGGCCGTGCCGATGATCACGGCGAGTGTCGTGGCGATGGCGATGGCGTTTATGGACATGTTTGTACATGGATGCCGGACGACGATGGTGATGCCGACGGCTTGCGACGGCGATAAAAGTGGTGGACGTAAGGGTGGCGCATTGGCGATAGACGTGATGATGGTGATCGTGTGGTGATGTTGGGGAAGACGACGGTGGTAATCAAACAAAACGGCATGACCAGAGCTTTCGGAAGCGCGCGCGGATTCGTTGGATCGGCGTAGGACACCCTTGTCAGTGTCTCCAGCGCCGCCTTTGGCGTATTTCGCGCATCAGGTCGGGGATAGTGGGCTCATTGCCGATCCAAGAAATCCGCGCAGCCATTCGAACGCTTATGCTCGTGTGTTGCTGCTCCCCCTGTAGAGAACGGCTCAAGGCGACGAAGATGCGGCGCAGGCCGATGAACATGTTGATGGCGATGGTGGCAATCAGCACAAAGTGGTTGCATGCAGCGACGGCGGTGATGATGGTGGCCCTCAGCAAGATGGCGACGTTGACGGTGATGGTGAAAATGGTGACGACGACGACACTGGTCGGGCACGACGCCCTTGGACTCTGCCTTCGCCCTTGCCTCTGCGGGGCGAGGGCCTCGTCTCTGGTTGAATTCCGCAGCAGCCTTGGAGCTCCCTGGCGACGGCGACGACGACGACGACGACGACGACGTCGACGACGACGACGACGTCGACGTCGGCGACGACGACGACGACGACCAGGACGACGACGACGACGACGACGACGACGACGACGACGACGACGACGACGTCGACGTCGGCGACGACGACGACGACGACGTCGACGTCGTCGGCGACGACGACGGCGCAGGCCGCCGCCCTGGCCGCCGCCGCGCGGGCCTGGCTGAGGCGGAGGCGGCGCCTGGCCGGAGCCCCGGCTGTTTTCCCCCACGCTGGCTTGCCGCTGCCGGAGCGCGCCGCGCCCCGCATTCGCAGCTGCCGTGCCGTCAGGATCGTGTCACAACTCAGGAGCGAAGGAAGGACGTACACGTACATGAATGCACGCTGTTTTCGAGATTTTGCATTGCGCGAACACTCATATCACGCGGCCGGTCTTGCGGGTCAAGGGGCCGTGTTCATGTACATAGCTGGGCGCGTACGTCCTTCGTGGGCTCCCTAACAACGTGGTTCCCCAGAGATCTGGACAACTTCCCAAGGACCAGTGCTGCAGTCCCTGGGGCGCCGGAGGTGGCCCTGGGCACCAGAAGAGCCAACAGATGGGCGTCGGGAGCGTTGCGGACCGAGAGAAGGGGGGCTTGGCATCGCTCGGACGTGTGCACTTTTCCTCCGGCGAGGACCATCGAGGAGCATCCTCGATCATCTGGCGAAAAAGCCACGCACGTAACCTAACAAGCACAGGGGATGGACGTCCGAGCGATGGCGAGGGGGGGGGATGAGCTGCTGGATGCGCCTCGAGGCGCCAGGCAGCGCGGGGCCAGGGAGGACGGACCTCCGGCCCTGACGCGTCGATGAAGGAATCGGCCGTGTTCGGTTCGCGAGCGGGCGTCGCGGCCGTCGCTTCTGCGGGTCCAGTTCCGTCGGCTTCGGGCCCGGGCCGTTTTCACCAAAGGGAGGTTTGCGAGAGGGAGGTTTGTCCACCGCCGACCCAGGGCCGTGGAGGCAGCGGACAGGTCGACAGCGACAAAGCGAACGAGGAAGAGGAGGGAGAGGAGGAGAAGGAGGAGAGTCCCAGAGAGCCAACGCGCTGAGAACATCAAGACGGAGGGTTTTCGCAGTTTTCGGCCTCGAGGGGCCCTCGTCGTGTCCTGGGACCGTCAAAGAACAATTCAGGATGAAGAACCGGTCCTGGAGAATGGGTCGAGACTTCCGGGGACCCCGTAATGAAAAAATCACGACATCGTATCTCTGGGAAGCACGATGTTGGAATTAACCCTCCCTCCAAGCTTCCTTTCCACAGGCCCCTACAAGGATGCATGTCCACAGAGGGAAGTGCCCCGTGGGGAGACAATCGTTTGAAGATCTTGAAGCGTACCACACACCTTTTCTCGGAACTTCAGCGCCACGAATCGACATTATTGTTGAGTATTGACGATCTTGAACCGAGGCAGAACACCATTTCTGGCACTTCGAACCACGAATCAACGTAAGTATTCCGCCTTACATTTCTTGATTCGCTCCGATAGCCCAGTCCGTCTCTCTGTCCTAGCCCCGCCCCCGGGACGCCGAAGCCGAGGACAACCGCTCGGATTGACACACATCACATCCTCGGAGATCTGCGCGGAGAGGCCCCAAGAGGCGCCCAGGAACCCCCCGGAGAGGCCGCCAGGGGGCCCAACAGAGCTCCCCAGGAGCTTTCTCGAGAAACCCCCAGGATTAAGTCGGGCCTGTCCCTCTACGGGAGGAGAATTCAAAAATAGTCAAAAAATAGGTTGGCAACGATTTGTTTATTTTTTTTTTGAGCGTTTGTGTGGTTCATTTTGGAATATATTTTGTTGTTCGCCCCAAATCCGCCTGGAGGAGGACACGCCCGACCTCACCCCAGGCGAGAAACATCATGCCCGCGCGGCCCGCTCTTCCGCCTGAGGTCGGGCCAAGGAGGCTCGAAAGAACCGGCTGCGAGGGCGCTTCTCCGCGGAAGCGGCGCAGCATGCAGACGGGGGGGTGAGATCGAGGTCGGCTCGGGGAGGGTAACAAGCAATTCATCTGCACGAGCGAAATGGGCACGGAAAGAGTGGGTACAATGCCCAACAGCAGATCTCGTTCATTTTGAACAGGACTCGCTGTCTACGCCGCCGCGGCCTGTGTCCATTCGAGACAGAAGGCCGCCTGCCCAATAGCGGCCGCTGATGGTTTGGGACAACATTTGTTGTTGGGCATTGTACCCATTCTTTCCATACCCATTTCGGGCGTCCAAAATTAAGAACCTCCCCTTTCCCCAGCGAAAGTGCAACGCACCCGGCACTCCAGAAGCGTTACCCTGGCACCTCGCTCGCACCTTTATGTGAACGCAGACGAGTCCGCTCGCCGAAACAAGCAAGCCGCTTGAGACATTCTCGCAATATGGTCTCCTTGTTGTTCTGAAACAAGCGCCTCGCTTGAGACATCCTCAGAAGCTGCTCTGGACGCAGACGAGTCTGCGTCAGGTGGTCGGTCTGGGCGAGAACTGGAGTGGCCGCGCGTCTTCCCAGCGCTCGGTTTTCCGAGCAAGGGTCCTCTTCCTCTTTTTCTCTTCGTCTTTTTCAGGGGTCCTCCTCCTCCTCCTCCTATTCCTCCTCATCAGTGGTCCTCTTCCTCCTCCTCATCCTCCCTCGCGTAGCCATTTTGGCTCTTATTCGCCATTACGGATCAAGCCGAGGGCCAAGGCCTCAGTCAAGAGGGCTTGGCCCAGTTCAACAGGCAAATCCTCCTGCTCCTCCTTCTCAAGACTCCCTTACGGCACGGCACCAACACGAACAACGACAATAACACCAGCAATAAGAGTTACATCTATGACAACAATGCCAATAACAGCAACACCAACAACAACATCAACATCGAAAACACCAACAACACCGCCAACACCAACAATAACAAACTGAAGTCCCACGCAAGGGAGAGCCCAGCTTTGAAGAGGAACCGTCCGTGCCTACGATGGGGGGCGAATAATTTTGGCGGTGCGGGTGCTAAGATAACGCGCCGTGCGTGGCGGGGGCGATATCCCAGGACAAGTCAATGTTTCAACAGGGGTGGTAATACAAGTCGTATAGGACAAGGATGATGAAGATACTAAGAACAATATTGTTATTATCAATCGCATTGTTCTTGTTGTTATTCTTCTTATTCTTCCATAGTTATGATTAGTAGTATGTTTCTTTTTCCGGATTATGATTATGATTTTTATTATTATATCTACTCTTATTGTTAATCTTAGTCTTAGTAATTATCGTCCCCCTACTCTCATCATTCTCCGTCAGGGCTTCGCCCCCTGCCGCCGGCCCCTTCTCTATCATAATGGGATACATCAGAGCTATATTGGGATGTTCGGGCGCCGTCTTGATGACATTCGGGAACATCATGCTAGGGCGGCTGGCGATGAGCAAAACACATTGAGATGTTGAAATTGTTATTGAATGCTTTGTTGCCTTCTTTTCATTTTCCTCCAATTGTTCACTGCAAGCGTTCTGAAAACGGCTGAAATTTACTCCAAGCAATCTCTGGGAAGGTTATTTGTTATGCTCTGGAAAAGGAATGGCGCCTTTGGGCAGCTTCCGCGAGGTGGATTCGTAGAGTGGGGGGTGCGCGCGAATTCGGTGTAATTTGCGGGGGATCGTTGCCTCGGGGACGCGAATGCGGTGCAATTTGAAAGGGATCGTGGCCTGGGGAGCGCGACAGCGGCGTAATTTACGAGGGATCGTTGCCTCGGTGGCGCGAATGTGGCGTAATTCACGCGGGATCATGGCCTCGGGGGCGCAAGTGTTGCGTATTTTACGAGGGATCGTGGCCTGGGGGGGTGAATGTGGAAACCATCGTCGAGTTTTCCAGAAACCGGGGAGCGTCTTTTCGGCAGTTTCCGAGTGCCTTTTCGGCAGCTCCGCGAGGCGGATACGTGGCCTCGGGGGCGCGCCCGCTGTGTAATTTACGATGGATCGTGGCGTCAGGGGCGCGAATGTATAGTAATTTACAAGGGATCGTGGCCTCGGGGGCGCGAACATACAGTAAATTACATGGGATCGTGGCTTCGGGGGCGCGAATGTCATGTAAATTGCAATGGATTGTGGCCTCGAGGGCGCGAACGCGGAGTAATTTACTATGGATCGTGGCCTCGGAGACGCAAATGTGGAGTAAATTACATTGGCCTCGGAGACGCGACTGTGGCGTAATTTACGAGGGATCGTGGCCTCGGGGGCGCGAATACAGCGTAATTTGCTGGGGATTATGGTTTCGGGGACACGAAATTTATGTATTTTTATGTGTTCCCCCCCCCCCCCAGAAATTCTGAGAACCCTCCCGGGGGACACTAACCAGGGTGGTTTTCGGTTTCCCCTCTCGCGCGGACAGTAACAATTTACAGTAGGAAACAGAAAGCAGTACTGTAACAATGGAAACTGGAAACTGGAACTGGTGCAGGGAGCAGCAACCTTAAGCCTCGCAGCCTGATGGCCCCGCAAGGGGGCCGGCGGATTAATATGTTCATTCGTATTCGTCTTATTATTGTCAGTATTATTCTTATTGTTTTCCAGATCCTAAGATGGGATTATTGTTATTGTTTGGACGCCTCCTACTCTTTCTTCTTCCTCTTCTCCTCCCCTCTCCTCCTCATACCCAGACTTACTCATACACAGACTGACTCACACTCGGACTTACTCATACCCAGACTTACTCACACACATAATTACTTATACTCAGACCTGCTCATACTCAGACCTACTCCTATTCATACTTATTCAGAACTCCTACTCAGAGTTACTCATGCTGAGACTCACTCATTGCCAGACTAACTAATACTCTGACTTGTTCCCAGTCTTACTCATACTCAGACCTGCTCGTACTCAGACCTTTTCATTGTTTGATTTATTCCACGCACACAGCAGATTGTGAGGATGTCTCAGGCGGGGCGCTGGTTTCAGCCCCCCTAAGGGGAACCGCCATGGGTGTTTTCACGGTCCTGTTCGCGGCCGTTTTGTGGGGATGTCTCACGCGGTTTGCTTGTTTTCTGTCCCAACACCCTTCGTTTTCGGAACAGATTTGGAGGATGTCTCGAGCGAGGCGCTCATTTTCAGCATCCCCAAGGGGAGCCGCCAGGGGTGTTTTCACGGTCCCGTTCGCGGCCGTTTTGTGGGGATGTCTCAAGCGGTTTGCTTGTTTTCTGTCCCAACATCCTTCGCTTTCGGAGCAGGTTTGGAGGATGGTTCGAGCGAGGCGCTC